GCATTTTTTTACAATGATTTATTGCTTAAAAGAAGCAAAACTCAGAATGTTCATATGATATTAAGACTGTCATCAGGTTTTTAATACTGATGATAATTGGTGTAAAAAATGGGCTTAAAATAAGTCCCTTTTTTGTGCATTTATTGTAGATATTTACCCACTAAAAGAAAAGGTAATCAAGTGTGATTACTCTAAGAATTGGTTTGAAAAGTTATTAGATTATATTAAGAGGCAAGCTTATAGAAGACCATTTGGCTCATTGAGGTCACTGTTAAGCCACAAAATTATTATATATTTTTAATCCAGTTTAAATATGCCCTTGAGATCCATATATCTATTCACCAAGATTTTAAAACAATTCAAACTATCATTTCTCACCATAACAAAGACAAACCTTGTTGTAAATATTAACAGCTTTATAAGCACAAATTAAATAATGAAGAACAAACACAAATTTAGAAAAAAGTATACTTCGGGGTAATCAACTTCATATTTTTGTAAATTTATGTTTATTTCTTGTTACTTAATTTGTGCTTATAAAGCTGTTAATCTTTACAACATTTTTAGATAGCACAAAGTACTACTTAACTTGATTAACAGATAAATCATTCCACATGCCTTTAGCTCATTTGTGGGGGAAAAAAATTGTTGAAGAATGAGTCAATTTTATATTTCAATAATTGAAACATAGAAATGGTAGGAAGACTCTCCAAGTTTAAAAGTTTTGAACAACTGAATCAATTCCCTTAATTCTTCTGTACTAAGCCTCTTTTCATATCTCAAGGATATAAATCAGGTATCATTCTAAGTGTATCTCAGCACAAATTTGCTAATCACCTGTATCCAGTCAATAGTTTTTAAGTTTTACATTTTTTAATGTTGTAAATTTTTGAATTGGTGTCTTAGTTTGCCAGCTTTAATGATGCCCCAGAAACATAATATTAGTCTGTGTGGTATTTTCTGTGCAAAAGGGTTTTTCTGCAGAACAGTCAGTTAGGCCCACTAGTTGGAAGTTCTGAGAATACTGGAATTTGGAGTTTGATTATCTCTCCAATAGAAGTACAAGTTACACATATATTTATTCATTAAAACACAGTCACAATACAATAATGAAAAGATAAACAAGGGCAAGTATTCAGTGGTGAACTGATAAGAGTTATATGAAGTCTTTTCTTTATTTATAAGCTCTTATCAGTTTGTTGGGCCCCCCCAGTAAGTTAAAGTGAAACCTAAACTTGAAAAGGAAATAAACTCCGAAGCCAACTAAACTTAATATCAAATGTATACTCAGGTGCAGTACTGTAAACCTCAGTAAAGTAAAACACTATTAGATAAAACAAAAGCTTATTAATAAAGGCCAAAGAACTACATTAACTTGCTAGAACTACTAACAGTTCACCAAAATCTAAGTTGAAGTACTAAAAGTTGATTAGAGTTCATTTAAGTTTCAAGTTATTCTTACATGTGCAAAGCTGGCTCTATATATAGAAACAAAATACACTAAGAAAACCAGGCTTGTGCATGAAATGCACCTCACATTCAAGATGTATCTTCAATGGGAGTTGAATTCTAGGACATGAATGCCCCTGACTCCTATCCAATTGGTGAACAAAAAATATTTTTCTGTTTCTGAAGATCACATGCCACCTTATTTGCAAGAAAGTCAGCTAAGTGCCAGTTAACGAACCCATATCTTATATGTTTTCAAAACAGGAGAAGTTGAAGTGTTACTTTAGCAAATTTTGGCACCCAAACTGGAAACTCGGAAAAACACAATAGTTTTGAAAATTTTACATCTTAACTAAGGGGTGGCAGACACATAGCGACATCCTGTACTACACCTATCGTACTAACCTCTACAATTTTGTAGATTGTTTTGTTTTCATTTGTATATGTATTTCGTGCATATTTCCATCAACCTATTAAGTGTCTTTGTATACAATGCTTTGAAGATACTTGTCTAAGTAGTATAAACAGTGTCATGGATTTTGTACAAAAACGAAGACCATGAGATGCTTTTTCATGTTAGAAGATCACTTTTCCCAGAAAATACATGAACGAAGCTTAATATAAATATAATAATTAGAAAGAATGCTCTGTTGTTATGGTGTGAACACTTTTTGTTGGCAAAGTATGGATATAATTATAATGCTTTGTTGTTCTGAGAATGAAGTCCAGGTGTTTATGTCTTGTGATTTCTATTCTGCTCTTGTTCATATATGTCATATGCCTTTCTGTATTCAGTGAGTGAGTGTACGTGTGTGTGTATTTTAACTTGCCAGTTTAGATTGGTTTTCTGGTTAAGTATAGTCATTATGGACTTTGATTTGTACTAGTTGAGTATATAATAGATGATTAACTGAGATAGTTATACATATAATGATTTAAGTACCTACATGTACAATAAGCATGAATACTTTAGTTTTTGTTATTTGTGGCATACTTTTTCTTTGCCAATTGTATAATTAAGTAGATTCTGAGGAATTATATGGCAAGAAATGTACACCTCCAGTTTGAACACCCACTGGTGATACTTTACACATGACCCTGAACTTTATATAGCATTGGTTAACCTACCAATCAGGAACTACTCAAATTACACACTTTCAGTCAGCCACTCACTGTTTGATACTGTTTTTTTGTAAAATGAATGAAGTTTATAATGCTTTCTGCTTTCAGAAGCTCAATATTTACTTCAAGCTTGCTGTAGGCTCATTGTATTTTATAAAGTGTTCTG